ATCCTTACTTAGGGTGAATATCAAGTGCTTTTGGTAATTTTAAGTATCAGAAAAAGAGGGGGGGCAGTTAGAAAGAACTAAGCCTACAAACATATGAAATCTATGAATAATAGCATTTTAATGGCTCATCTATTTCGAAAATGACAATATGCCCCATGAGTAACTAAGATCTTTTTATTTGAAGTCTAATTACACTTGTGTTAAGCAGAACAATATGATTCTCTACGACCCAGGAAGGACTTCCGGTTAAAATTCTGCAAGTTTTCTTAAGAGACAAGACAGGAGGGTGACCTCCCCTTTCCTACCCAAATTTCTGGACCTGGGTGTCCCCACCTCCTGCCCCAGATTCTGTGAGAACTTTATTCACCCTGCCTGCCCAGCCCAGCAGCCTGCCTGCCCCACCGGGCAGAGAGAAGACAGAGCGGTGTGTCTGTGGGGTGCATATTAAACGCGGCCCGGCCTCTTCCTTCACTTCCAGGATCCTTCTCGCCTCGTTTTGGATAAATCATATTCAGGCCTTTTTTTTTTTTAACTTCAGGTTTAATTTCTTATGAAAACATTAGAAAGCTGAGTCTGCTCTCCCTTGGGAACCAGCCTCCTGTCCCCAGCAGGTACCACACTGGGAAGTCAGCGCCCTGGGGGAAGGGAGAGACTTTCTCAAAGCCCCTGCCTGCCTGGCTCAGCTTCCTCTGAGCCTGGATGCAAGTCATCATCTCTTGGTGGAAGCCAGACGCTTCAGGGATGAAGCCATGGAGACACAGTGACAGGTTGCCTGGAAAGAAGACATCGCCAGAGCCCACGACGGGGCCACGCAGGACCCCAGCTGAGCCCTGCACAGCGTGTGTATGTGTGTGTGTGTGTGTGTGTGTGTGTGTGTGTGAACGCACACAGTCCTGGGGCTTGAACTCAGGGTCTGGGCATTGTCTTTGAGCATTTCTGTTCATGCCTAACACTCTACCACTCGAACCACTCTACCACTTCCAGCTTTGGTGGTGAACTGGAGATAAGAGTCTCACAGACTCAACTCTGGAAGTGTGGCTCAGTGGGTAGAGTGCTAGCCAATGTCCAAAAGCATTAGGTACTGAGTTCTGGTCTCAGACCAGAAAGAAAAGACTTTCCTGCACAGGCTAGCTTTCAGCCTTTGTCCTCAGATCTCAGCCTCCTGAGTAGCTAGGATTACAGGCGTGAGGCACGGACACCTGGCCATTCTTAGCATTTTGAAAGCATCAATTCACGTAATCCTCATAACCTCCAGTGAACAGCAATATTCATTGTGTGTGCACACATGCGTGTGCCCCCCCCCACTGATATTGGGGCTTGAGCTCAGGGTCTGGTGATCTGGCTTAGCTTTGTTTCATTCAAGGCTGATTCTGGGGGAAGGAGGGGAACCTTGCCTCTCCGCCGCCTTGGCCCTGGAGTGACCAGCACAGTGGGACTCCACGTCACTGGTGTGGGAGCCGCCCATCTGGGCTCTTTCAAGGAGGCAGGAAAGTGGAGGCCTGGAGACTGTGGCTCTGAAAAGCAGGGGTGTGCCTCCACTCTCTCCCACGACCCCTCCAGCTAAGATGACCTCCTAGAGGTGGAGGATCCAGTTCTTCATGATCAAATATACTGCAGCAGCGACTTCTCCACACCCACCCCTCCCTCCAGACAGCAGCCCCTCAGCCGGCTCAGTTCTGAAAGCCCTGGAGCCCAAGCATGCTTTGGACACCCACAGATCTCTCGCTCCGTTGTCTTATTTGCTGTGCATGCTCCGGCAAAGGACTCTACTTCTCTGAGCCTTCTCATTTAAAAAGAGATTCCTATTCCTTCCTAATACCTACGTAGGGTGCTTGTTGTGCGGTAAGTTTTGTTACTGTTGTTTTTAAGCAAAGGTCAGCTCCATTTCCCTTCCCCCATTCCCAGCAGTCTTGGCCGCTGAGCCCATGGCAGGCCTCCCATCGGCCCCCACCAAGCTGTGACGCGGCTGAAGTTTCTCTCTTGAGTGAGTGACAGGTTCAGGGAGGCAGAACGGAGGAGCGAGGCCGGGAGCTCACAGGGCTGGACTGCGAGGCCGATTCCCAGGCTGGGGAGTCAGGCTGTGGTTCACTGATGTGGATTCTCTGGCCTTTCCCCGTCCCCCGGGGGGAGGCCCTCACTGGGGGAGTGGATCCTGCTGCCCCCCGCCCCCCCAGCACTCCCCTCCACTGCAGCCCCATGCTGGGGCAGGATTGCAGGGCAAGGGAGGGAAGCTGGGGTGGAATTACACAACTGGAATTCTTAATTCCTTCTCACAGAGGTCAGGGCCGGGAGGGGCTGTTCTGCGGGTGTCTGTCCAGCTGCCCCTTGTCCGCCGGCTTCACAGGTGGAGAAGCAGAAGCTGGGGGAGGGCCTCGTGGAGGGAGGGTGGGCGTGGCTGGCTGGACGTGGGCGGGGCCCACTCAGGTGTGACTGCCACCTGCTTCCTGCCCCCTCTGTCAACAGGTGCGGCTGGAACAGCAGTGTGCCACGCGACGGCCTCATCTCACACTACAAAAGACCTAGGGACATCCAGACAATGCGTGCCCCATGCGTGCCCCACAGATGGCCCACAGTGGAGAGTAACAAGAGCTCTCCCCGCCCCCTGGCCAGTCGCAGCAGCAACCCCCACCTGGCCTTATTGATTTATTTAGACACAGTCTCACTGTATTTCCCAGGTGTGTCTTGAACCCTTGGGCTTGAGCAATCCTGCTTCAGCCTCTGAAGTAGTGGGGGACTATAGGTGTACGCTACAGTGCTTGGCTTCCCTAACAAGTTGTTTCTTGGGGTTGTTTTTGCTTGTTTGTGTGACAGGGATTTGTTAAAGACCCAGACTGGTCTTTAACTTGGTATGTACCAGCACACCCAAACCCCAATTACTCTGTGTGTGTGTGTGTGTGTGTGTGTGTGTGTGTGTACCAGTACTAGGGCTTGAACTCAGGACCTCAAACAAGTGGGTTTTTTTCACTCAAGGTTGGCACTCTACTGCTTAAGGTACACATTCACATCTAGCTTTCGGCTGGTCCATCGGAGACAAGTCTCTCAAATGTGGCTCAGACCTCAGCCTCCTGATCAGCTAGGATTAGAGGCGTGAGCCACCATGCCTGGCTCACAAATCAGTCGGAAGAATTGAAAACCTTTCCACCTGAGAACTCAGACCCAGGGAGCCTGGCGGAGCCAGCTGGCCGTGTCTGTGACCTGGCCGTTCTTCCAGAAAGACACACAGCTCGGGACACTCTGCGAGGAGGGCCGGGCTGGGGGCAGTGCCACCCCCTCCGGGCTTTCCACGGGAAGCCCGTGCGCCCCGCGCCGGTGAGGGGTCTGCGGGGGCACGGAGGCGGGGTGCTGGCCGGGAAAACCACAGGGAGGACGCGGCTTCGTAACAAACCCACTTTAATGGCGAGTGTACAGAGTTCCGGGCAGTGGGGGGGTGACCGTGGGGCCGGGCTGCGGGGTCCGGCGGTCAGGGGGTGGCTGGGGGCTGCTGGGGGCGCACACACGGGTGGGGCAGGCTGGGGCGCAGAGCTGGGCCGGGAAGTGTGTGTGCTGGCGTGTGCAGACATACGGACACGTCCATACCCAGAGAGACCCTCAGCAGCCCACTCGGGGGAGAGGGCGGGGGTGGGTGCCTTGAATCCCAGCAGGCCTGGGGGGCTGAGGACGCCCTCTGGAGAGCTGCCCAACACAGCCCACACTGAAGGTCCGGGCTGGTCCCTGCTTCTGCTGCTTCCAGGCTTGCGGTGTGACCCAGGGGGAGTAACTGACCCTCTCTGGGCTTTGGCAAAACCCCAGAGGACTACTATGGTTTCTTGTGATCTTAAACATCCATTTATTTTTCATTTTCATTGTTGGTGCTGGCCGTGGGGCTTGAACTCAGGGCCTGCTTAGGTTGTTTTCATCAAGGCTGGCACTCTACCACTTGAGCCACAGCTCCATTGCTGGCATTTTGCTGGTCAACTGGAGAGTCTCGGGGGCTTTCCTGCCCAGGCTGTGCTGTGAGCCTTAGATCTCAGCCTCCTGAGTAGCTGGATGACAGGTGTGAGACACCAGTGCTAGCAAACTTCATTATATTGAAGGAGATTAGATGTATTTATTCGGAACTGGGAACAGGGGGAGTGTGGGGGGCTTTGGTTAGCAGGTTCAAAGCCCAGCACAACCAGCTGGGTGTGTGGGGCCCACCAGTGGGAGCTTTCCTCCACCCTCCCTCGTCTCCCTGAACTAACTGGGCTTGTCTCCTTCCCCCCTGATCCTCAGTCATCCTGTCTGAGAAATGGGAGCAGGAGAGGCCCCCAGCACAGCTGTTGGTAACTGTGCTGCGCAGTATGGGCTCAGCATCCAGCCCCAGACGGCCCCAGCACCCTGCCTGGGACAGACAGTGGCTCAGAACTGGAATGGGGCTGCAGAAAGGTGGTAAGGTGGGTCACTAGGCTCTAGGGGTTACAAACAACCTGGGTCTATGGCTAACACAACCAGGAACAGCTTCAAAACAACAAGCACACATCGCGTGGGCAGGATGGCAGAAGACTGGCGCAGGACCAGTCACAGTCTCAGAGATGCAGCACACAGGCCACCGGCTCCATATTGGGGCAGCCCAGGGGCCAAGCAGGAGGGATGAGTGGACGTGACTGAGCAGAGGGGGGAGCTGCAGGCCGGGAGGGACCCTCTCCCCATCCATGTCCACGCCAACCCCACCAGGGGAGGAGGAGGCCGCTCGTGTCTGGATGTCCGGTGGTTTTGTCCGGATCGGTATCAGGAGGCTCCGTGTGACACATGGCTCCTGGCCTTCTGGCATCCACGTTTCTTCCAACTTGAGCCTCTGGGTCAGCGCTGACTTTTCCTCAACTGGCCTCCTGTCCTCGAAGATCAGGCCTCCCGTGGAGGCCAGGGCCACAGGGAGCCAGGGACAAGAGGCCTCAGGGAAGAGACACGAAGGCAGGAGGGTGGACGGAGCATCTTGGGGCCCCTCTGGGCTGGTCCCCCAGGGCGCCCATGGCTGGGGGAACGTGGGCAGCGGGCATCTGGGGCCACCTCCCTGAAGGCACCGCCCCGAGGCCCTCCCCAGCGTCCCTGCCGCTCACTGGATGGCACACTTGTCCCTCTCTCGGGCCTGGCCCTCTCGCAGGACCTTGGCCTTGATGTACTTGAGGTCACTGTTGACGCTGGGGCGGCGGGCAAAGGGCGACACCATGCCGTAGGCATCCATGTCCTTGACGCGGCGGATGCAGAACGGCCGGGGGTGGAAGGCGTCGCCGTACTGCACGGAGATCTTGCGGTGCAGCGCGGGGCTCATCTCGTGCGGCAGCTTGGCCATGCTGAACAGCACGTAGAACATCTCGTCCACGTTCGTGTTCTTCTTGGCCGACACCTCGAAGTAGGCACAATTCTCATCTCCAGACACCAGCAGCTCGGCCTCGGTGCTGGGCACCTGGCGGCACAGCTCGCTGTGGTCGCTCTTGTTGCCGCAGATGACCATGGGCAGCTCTGCCGCCTCCTTCGTCTTGTTCTTCAGGCAGGACTTGACCTCCAGGATCTGCTTCTGGAGGCGCTTGACCTCGTCAAAGGACTCCCGGCTATCCAGGCTGAACACCAGGATGAAGACGTCACCTACAGAGAGAGCCCAGCGGGTGAGTGACAAGCGGGGCCCGCCCCTGGGCAGTTCCTGGGCCAATAAACGGCCGTGATTGCCCCCAGCTGTCAGAGCAGGAAGTTGAGGCTCCAAGGGGTTCAAACCCTCATTCGTGGCTCATGCACAGAGCAGCCCAGCTCAAATAGGATCAGCCCACCTGTGGACTTTCACAGACTATGAGACTATTAGCCACGCATGGGGGCTCACGCCTATACTCCTAGCTACTCAGGAGGCTGAGATCTGAGGATCATGGCTTGAAGCGAGCCTGGGCAGGAAAGTCCTTGAGACTCTCATCTCCAATTAACCACCAAAAAGCCGGAAGTAGAGGTGTAGAGCTCAAGTGATAGAGCACCAGCCTTAAGCTAAAGAGCTAGGAGAGTGGCACCCTGGCCCTGAGTTCAAGCCCCAGAACTGGTGCACACCTGTGCACAACCACACCCCCACCCTATGAGGAGAACAATGATCGGCCAGCTGTGCAAGCTGGGGTCTTGCCCAGCGCACATGCCCGGGGCCTGCTGAATACCTGACACAGTGGAATCCGGCCAATACCAGTGGCCGCAGTGTGGTAGCACGTGTTGGGCCGGGGGGAGGTGTGGCTCACATCTGGAATTTCTGTTTACCAGCCATGCAGCCTTGAGCAGGGCCCTACCAACTCCCTAGCCCTCGGTGTCCCCATCTGCACCAGCTGCATGCAACATGGCCTAGCGGGGCTCTTTGAGGGCTGTCACAGATAACAAAGGCAGGGTGGCTCCCTGCCTTCCCAGGCACCTGGCACCTACTGGGCACCCAGCACCCGTTCCACCCCTGATGTTCTCCTGATACTGCATAACACCTCCACGGGGAGATGTTCTTGCTTTCCTGTGAAAGGTGAGCAAAACCAGACTCAGAAGGGGCAAGCAACCTGCCCAAGGTCACACAGCTTCACTGTGGCTAGGACAGGGCTACAACTCCGCCCAGTGCTGGCTTCATGCTGGCACACAGGCCGTGTTCTGGGGCTTCTGGAGCAGATCATGGGATGAACAAGAGCATGTGGCCCTCAGTACCCATGCTACCCCCCTCCAAGCCCACCTACATCCACCGGAGCTTACGGCCTCCCTCAGACCCGGCTCTTACTGCACAGCCGGGACTGGGGAGGGGCGGGGAGAGGGGAGGGCAGGGTGGTCAATGGCTTCACCTCTATGATCTCATTTGCTAGCCTCTCCCTCACTTTTGCTTCCATTCTTTTCTGGGGGGATGAGGGATACTGGGGTTTGAACTCAACACCTCACACTTGCTAGGCAGGTGTTTCTACCACTAGACCCTCACACTCAGCCCCTTAGCTTTAGTTATTTTTTGGATAAACGATCCATGTTTCTTTTCCCTTGCTTCTCCTAACCAGCTCCTGAGTACCTGGCATTACAGATCCACACCACCACAACTGCCCCCATTACTTAACTTTCAACAACCCCACGTGTATAGATCCAAAGCTGCTTGGGGGGTGGGGGACAGGCAAGCAAAGCGGGGCCTGGGACTCGGGTACCAGTCTGCACCCCCAGGGAGAGAGCAACACCCTAATTTCTGGGCCCCAGAGCTGCTTCTGAAAGGCACACACCACACTCAGACCAGTGTTCTAGTCAAGGGCAAGCTCTGGACAGCAGGAGCCGGGGACTGGCCCCTGCCGCCCGTCTCCCGGAGCCTGCCTGCGGCGGCCGAAGCTGTTCTCAAAGGCACCAGTAAGGTAGCTTCAGCCTGCCAACCCCAACAAGGCCAGGCTGATCTCGGGGTCTCTGAAGACTCAATATTCAAACACGAGGTTGCAGGTGCCAGGCAGCAGGGCCTGCCCCGGCCTCACGGCCAGCCCGCAGCCGGAGGGCGAGCTTGGCCATGAATGGCTCTCAGTCCTGGGCTCCAGGTTGGGAAAAGAGGCCCAGGTTTGGGAGTGAGCAGAGCAGCGGCAGTCCTATGTGCTCAGAATGTTGCTGCGGGCTCTGGCTGCTGCCACGAGGCAGAGGGGAATGGCGACATGGTTGCAGAAGGCCCACACCACACCGAGGGAGCCCCACTTCTAGGAAGGTAGGAGCTGGGGAAGGGGCCCTGGCCCAGGGCTCTGGCCTAACATAAAATATAGACTAATGTCTCTTTATATCAGAGGCCACCCAGACCCCTCCCAACGGCTGGGAGAGCTACCCCCATGCAACACTGAGCTTGTGCTGGGTGCTGCTGTCCCCCAACCCTCCTGGACCCTTTATCCTCACAGCTCTACCAGGAAGTGAGGCCAGGCCCACTGATAGGACACACAGCTGTCTCCAAGTGACAGATCCAAGATTTGAACCCAGGCCCAGCCAGCGATCCTCTACTTGTATATTCCATCTTCAAAATCTGAGGACAACCGGGAACACAAAGAGAGGTGTGGCAAGGAAGGCCTGGAGGAGGGAGCCCGCCCATCAGCCTCTTTCCTGGCTAGAGTATAAAGAGAGGGTTAGGCAGGGCACAGCTCTGTTTTGTTTTAAGGTACTGGGATTTGAACACAGGGTTTCACACCTGCTAGGCAGGTGCTTAACTAACCACATCCCCAGTCCACTTCCCCTTTTGTTAATTTTAAAGTAGGCAAGCTCTCTCATTTTTTCTTTATAGTCCAGGTCTGCCCTTAGACCAAGTTCTCCTACCTCTAGCCTTCCTCATAACTAGGATGATAGGAATGCTCTACCATACCCAGCTCGTTGGTTGAGGTGGGGGAAATCTCTCAAGCTTTTTTTCCCAAGCTGGCCTCAAACTATTATCCTCTAGATCTCGGCCTCCAGGGGAGCTGAGGATACAGGTAGGTGTGAATGATCACACTTGCATGGCAAGCATTTCTTGTGGGACTTTCTAAGTTGGCAGTTGTCTGGATGATGGTTAGCGAGGTACTTGCCCTAGGGAGAAAGGACATGATTGTGTGCCCACATCAAGCACACTACAAATGCCAGCTCCATTTAAGACCAACGATTACGGAGCACTTAGCTTCTGCTCATCAAGCACCTGAAAGATTCCTCAGCTACTTTTACCAGCACTGTTGAGCTTCTGTCTAATGCAATGAAAAACAGGCCTGGGGGGACAGGGTCACTAGCCCCAGGGCCCCAGGAGGCAGTTGACCCAAGACTAGGCCCCGGGCAGCGGGGCATAGGGACCCACTCTCTCACCTACCACATTCAACCACCTGAAAGAATAAAAGCAATAGCCTTGCCGGGCGCCGGTGGCTCATGCCTGTCATCCTAGCTACTCAGGAGGCTGAGATCTGAGGATCATGGTTCAAAAGCCAGAGGGGCAGGAAAGTCCATGAGACTCTGATCTCTAATAAACCACCAGAAAACCAAAAGTGGCGCTGTGGCTCAAGTGGTAGAGCACTAGCTTTGAAGTGAAGAGCTGAGGGACGGCGCCCAGGCCCAGAGTTCAAGCCCCAGGACAAAAAAAAAAAAAAGGAACAGTCAAGGCCATGTCACCAGGAGCCCCTGGGCCCCACCGTGGCCCCCACCTTCCCCTGTGGTGACCCCCAGCAGGGCAGAGGCCATGGGGGCTAGCTCAGTGGTGGCCCCCAGAGCCTGGCCACGCTTCTACCTGGAGCAAGTTCCATAACCTCCCTGCCTCGGGCTCCCTGCTTGTGGAATAATGGTAGATCACACAGGGAAGCTTCCAAGTGGCAGGGCCAGGATTTGAACTCACCTTCTAAGTGGGCTATGAGGAGTCAGCAAAGCCATATAAGTGCAGGGGAGCACCAGCCACTGCGTCTCAGCTCTGCCAACACCCCCAGCCCCTGCCTCTGCCCGGCCCCCAGATCACTCTGGGAGGACAGCAGGCCACCATCCCCTGGTATAAAGCCAGTGCAGCTTCCACTAACCTGACCAGCACCACAAGGACCAGCAGGAAGGCCTCAAGCCTCCACAAAGCTGCCCAGCCCACAGGCCCACGCCTTGCCCTGCAGCCACCCCACGCACGTGCGCGTGCGCGCAGACACACACACGCACGCGCGCGCACCTGTGAGGATGGACAGCCTGCGCATGGCAGGGAAGGGGTGGTTGCCCGAGGTGTCCAGGATGTCCAGCTGGTACATGTCGCCCCGGATGTTGTAGACCTTGCGGTGGAAGTCCTCGATGGTGGGCGTGTACTGGTCGTCGAAGCGGCCGTTCAGGAAGCGAGAGACGATGGAGCTCTTGCCCACCCTGGAGGCGCCCAGCACCACCATGCGGTACGAGTTCTTGGCAGGCACGCTGAGCGTGCAGCTCCCGCTGGACAAGGTCTTCATCATGGCTCGGGGCTGCAACAAGAATGGGGGGGAGGTGTCAAGAAGCTTTGTCCTGGCCCTGCCCCTACTGCCCCCTGTGCAGGCCCCATCTAGGGCTCAGGCTTCTGCCTGTAAACCGGAGACGTAAAGCCCCTGTTCTCTAGAGACCCCAGCTTCCAGCCACTGGTCCATTCATTCATGCGTTAATCCCCTCCTCTTTCTTTCTCTCTCTCCCACGACAACCGTCCTCACAACCCCAAGGACTTCTGCTTCTGGGGAAATCCAGAACTTTCTCTGAGAGCTTCTTTTGGCTTTGTGGAAGAGGCAAAAACAAACCCAAACTCGAGATGCAAAGTGGGGCTCAGCAAACCACCCCGGCTCCGTCAAGCCCAGGCTCAGGCCCACCAAAGGCCATCCACCCCCCAGCCAGGCCTCTGCTCGCTCAGCACTGAGACCCCCAGACCCTCCAGGAAGTCACCCAGGCAACCAAGCTAGGCTGAGATCTAAAGGGCAGCGTGCCACCCTCAGGACTGCACAGAACACAGTCCAGCTGACACAGCGACCCCTTGGGAGGTCGACACAGGTTGAGCAGGTTGGTCCCCGCACAAGGTGCCCAGCTGAGTGCATCCCAGAGGAAGGAAGGGGTTTCTCTAGGTAGCCCCCTCTCTCAGAGAAGGCCCTGCTCCTTAATTGATACCAAGGGCCCTACTGCTAAATCTGGTCCCCACCCTGGGAGGCCCCAGGTGAGCCTCCAGAGCCTCTTCCGGCATTGTCCAACATCATAATTGTCTGTCTACCCTGCGGCTGAGTGTGAGGCAGCTACGGGGTAGGAGACATCCTGGGCACATCTCCCATCCTGCGTCCACATCTGCTCATGGCAGCCCAGGACCCTGGTGCAGCGAAATGCTCTCAAAAAATACCACTCAGAGGCTGGGGGCCAGGGGCTCACGCCTGTAATCCTAGCTACTCAGGAGGCTGAGACCTGAGGATCAAGGTTCAAAGCCAGTCTGGGCAGGAAAGTCCGTGAGACTCTTATCTTCAATAAGCCACCAGAAAACCAGAAGTGGCGCTGTGGCTCAAGTGGTAGAGCACTAGCCTTGAGCTGAAGAGCTGAGGGACAGCGCCCAGGCCCAGAGTTCAAGCCCCACGACCGACCAAAAAAACAAAACAAAATACCTCTCAGAAATGCCCTCACCATGGCCTTTCTCAATGGCATAAAAAAAAAAAAATACTCCCATCCTAGCCAACACTTGGCTAAAACTTGACCTCAGTGAATGAACTGCGAAGAGACTGCACCCCACACAGACCCCAGGCCTGGAGCCATAATGATGCTTCCTCAGGCCAAGTCCAGATGTGTGCCAAGCACAAAGCAGCAACACTGGCTGGGAAGAAGAAAAAAAAATCAACTGTTTGTTTTGCAGTGAATCTCTGTCGAGTGTCGCAGGCGCCTGCGCCTCAGCCCCCAGGAAGCCCAGGGGGCAGGGGGCAGAATGCCGAGGCTCAGGGAGGTTGAGCTGCTTTGCTCCAGGTCCTCAGCCAGCAAAAGCAGCCCAGAGGGCTCTGACCCCAGGTAGTCACCCTGTGGAATCCCACCTGCCCCGTGAAGCACAGGATATTTTCTAACAGGTCCACACGGCCTCTGAATTCATGCCAAAAGCCAACTCACATAAAGCCCGTGGGACTGTACCCAGAAGGTGCCCAAGAGACCATTCTTGATGAATGAAAAGGCAAGTCGACTCTGCCTCTCCCATCACCTCTACCCACCTGGCTGGCCTGGGGCTATCCTAAAAAGCCACCACCTTACACACACACACACACCAAGAATGGCCCTGCTGTGGAACCAGTGACTGAGTTCACTTAGGAATCAAGACAGAAAGCAGACAAGGGAGAGAGAGAAGCCAGACAGATTAACAATAAGAAGCAAGAGTTACAGAGGGCAGAGGGAGGCTTTCTTATCTGAGAGGATTGGGTCTTCACATGGCCCCAGCCACGTGGGGCCGAGCGAAACACCACACACCTGCCTGCCAGGTGACAGCCAGCATGTCGGTGGCTCTGCCCCCTGCTCCTCTTTCCTTCTCCTTCCCCACAGGAGTGCTGAGTGGAGGGGAAGCCTGGGGGGCAAATGTCTCCCCACATCTTCCTGCTCCTAGGCCTCTGATCCCACAGTGAGAGGCAAGCGGGACCAGTCTGGGGCTGGGGAAAAGGGGGAGCTTTAGAAGCTCAGTGGAATGTTGAAGGAGGGATGTAAATGCAAAGCCAGACGCTGCCACCCGGACCCCAGGACCGTTCCCAGGGCAGCTGGGCAGCAGAATCTTGAGGCTGGCTTAGGCCGTGCAGGGGAGAGGGCCTCCCACCGGCAGACACGGCCACAGGTGTGCGCATGCCTTATTCCTGCAACTTCACAGCAGTCTGGGCCCTCCTGACTCCTAGGGACACTGGTGCTCAGAGATGTTGAGCCGCTTGTCCCAGTTCACACAGCACATGCCTGGCTGGGCTGGGACTAGAACCAGGAGGCTGAGCGCCAGAGCCTGGTCTTACCTCTATGAGAAGCCACCCCAGGCCAAAACTGGAGTCTTTTTCCCAACAGTGTCTGACTCAGTGAAATCTCAGCTGGAGCCAGCGGGGCCTGACCCCTGAGGCATACTCTGTCCTCCTCGCCATTCTCCCTACAGGCAGCTGGGGGCAGGCAGCTTGCCCAAGACTCTTTGAGACCCTGCCAGCCTGCTCCTGGCCAGTGCCTCTGTGGCTCATTCACCTTCACCTTCCTCCTTCTCTCTGTGTCCCTGCTGGAGGCTGGGAGGATCCAATGGACAAGGACATGGCCCTTGGTGTGTAACGCACAGCCTGGTTCACTGCCCTGCCCCCCCAGTCCCTTGTGGGGCCCATCCAGCCTCTGTGCACATGCAATGCAGTCTCTGGCCTCCACGGAAGAGTCCTGGGGACTTTTAAAACCCATCCTCACCACCCTGGGCAGCAGACACCGGCTCTAACTGACCAATTCTGCCACTGGCCAGCTGTGAGCTAGCCTAGTGGCCCGAGACACAATAGGAAGTCCAGATGGGAGGTCCAGAGACTCCCCTGGGCCTTCTCAAGTGTGGGCTTCCTTTCTTTGGGGTACTCTCTGGGCAGCTGTGGGCTGCCTGGCTGTTCCAGGAAGAATAGGAGAGCAGGTAGAGGCCTTTTGAGAACCCCATCTTGTCACTCTGATACCAGGGAAAGCCTGAATCAGAGACTCTCAGGAGTTGGTCATCCCAGCCCTGTTTCCCTTCCATAAGGTCCTGGACAATGTCCTCTGTCACCCTCCCAGGGCTGAAGGTAAAGGGAAGAGAGAAGGGGTGCAGGAACACCTCCCCAGAGCTGCAGGGGGTGGGATGGGGGTGTCCAGCTGGGTACAGAAGCCTTTCCCAGGAACAGAATTATCCAGCAAACTCACTCTCCCATGCAGAAACCTAGAAAAAAAGCTCAAGGGACTGTGGGTAAAAAGTCTTGACTTCCTTCTGGGGGGTGGGACCACCAAATCATCCCAACAGCCCTCCATCTAGGTACATTGATACATCTCAGACATATCAATGTGTTTGGCGAAGGTTCGGTGCCTCTTTCCCCTGAGCCTCGGTTTCCCCTTTTTAAAACAGGCTTCCTCTCTGAAAAGCTCCTAGACAGAACTCAACCCAGTACAGTGTGCAAGAGCAATGAATCTCTTTCCCAGCGCAATAAGGGGTCCTGCGCCCTGCCTGGTAGACTAGTTTAACTCTCTCTACATGGGGCAAGAGGGATGCAACCCCTGCACACAGTAGGCTCACAATTCAAGTTTTCCTAGTAAGAGCATCTCAGAGCTCTCCCTTCCTCCTCCTGGCGAGTCCGGGGCTGCCCCAACTTTACCCAGCTCCCCAGATCTGTCGGGGGGGGGGGGTCTCTCCTACCTGGGACCGGCGGGCCGGGCCCCTCGCACGGCTCGGAGGGCTGCCGGAAAGCGCCTGCAGGTGCGGGGAGCCGCCGGTAGCCCCGGCTGCCGAGCCGCCGGGCGTCTGCGCCGTCCGCGCCGCGGGCTCCCGGGTCACTGCGCACAGATCCGGATCCTCCTCCTCTGCGCAGCTCGGGGCGCCGGGCTGGGCTCGGCTGGGAGAGGGGGAGCGCGAATTCGGGGCCCCATGGGTGGGCTCCGAGGGCTCAGCAGGGCTCGGGCGCTGGGCGGGCTCCGGCTCACCGTCGCCGGCCCTGCCCTGCCCGGACCCCGGGGCCTCCGGTTGAGCCAGGTGCCCGGAGGCTTGGGGACGTTGGATACGGAGATTCCCCACCTGGGGCTCAGGCGCCAGGGCGGGGGAGGGAGGGTGGGAGGCCGGGGATTGAAGAGCCGTCCGCGGAGCCTCCGGAGTCCTTTGCGGGTGGGGTGGGGGGTGGCTGGGGTGCGAGACCTGGGATGGCGAAGCCGCCTGGCGGCCTACGCGACCTTCTCCTCGGGTCCCCGAGGGGGGCGCCCGGGTGGGGGACAGGGGCGCTGCGCGCCGGGCCCCGGAGCCCGGCCTCCTCCGCTGATCGCAGCTGCCGTAGCCGGCTCTGCGCAAGAGGGACGGCTCCCTTCTCCTCGCCCGGCGATGCCAGCCGCCGAAAGCGGAGCAGGCGTGTGGGAGGGGGCCTCGAACGCCGCCCCGGGGCTCCGCAGCTCCCAGCTCGCTTCGAGCCGGCGCCGCCCCCCACTTCACCCTCCCGGGCCCCCCAGGGAGGAGAACTTTCTGCCGGCCCCGTTCCTCTCTCTCTCTCTCCCCCGCAGACGACGCCCCTCTTTCCCCGCGCTGGGAAGTGGAGGTGGCGGAGATGCTCCCTAAAGTGACTGCAGCCTGCACAGCCCGGGGCGATGGCAGCGCCCGGCCGATCCGTCCGGCGCCCACCTGCCCGGGTCACCCGCCAGCCGCCGGTCCCGCCCCGGAGCCGCGCCCGCCCCGCCCCCGGACCGCCCCCGCAGCGCGCAGCCAATCACCGGTGAGACCCTTGCGCCGACCACGCCCCCCGGGGCCACGCCCCTCCCGCCCCTGCCGGGCGGCAGGCTGCTGCTCCGCGTGCCACGGCGCGTGGGGCCGGGGCGAAGGGGGAACGGCCCGAGGCCTGGGGCGCGCGTGCACCGTGACCGGAAGGCGGCCCGCCCGCGCCTACGCCAGCGCTCACCCGCACGCCCACCGGAGCGGGAGGGGGCCCGCCAGGGGTCCCCAGCCGCCAGTGCCCCGCCCACTTGGCTCCCAGATGCCCAGCCAGTCCCCGAACCGGAGCTTCCTTCCCCGGACGCGGTGCCCGCGGGACCCCGTGGACCCGCACATGGGCAGCACACGTGCAGCCGCGAGGGGCGCGGGAGTCACCTAGGCCTCGCAGCCTGTGGATCTGCCGTGGCCTCCAGGGGTGTCCCTGGGCCCGGCCTGCAGACGATGCAACCCAAGGCTGCAACGCTGAGCTGCACCCACATCCCTTTCTTCTCAGGCCAATGTCCAGGCCGGGCCAGGCATCCGTTCCTACTGGGCCCCGTCCACATGCCACTTACCGACTTGGAGTTCTATTTAATTCCAAGACTCCTGGCGGGGCACGGGCGGCTCAAGCTGGTCATCCTAGCTACTCAGGAGGCTGAGATCCAAGGATGGTGATTTATCTCCAGATCAGCAAAAAGCTGGAAGTGTGGCTCAAATGGGAAAGAGCCAATCACGAGTGAAAAAACTAAGGGACAGCACTCAGGCCTGAATGTTAAGCCCTAGTACTGGCGCACACACACACACACACACACACACACACACACACACACACACACACACTATCCAAGACTCACTCTCCCTAGCACATTTTTCAGTCTCCTTGATTTTTGCCTCAAGCATCAGATATGCCTGTGAATAAGCACAAGGAAAACAAAGCAAGATTGTCACACTTGCACTGGAAACTGGCTGGCCTATATAGGCCCCCCATGCCTGGTAAATTGGACATGGTTTGGCAAGATGTTAAAGGCTATTAGCACCCAATTGAGACTCTTCCCTGTAATCAGGAGGCTTCACTGTGTAGAACAGTGAGGGAGTACAATGCTATTTACCTCTCTTCCACAACCCTCTCATCCTCACCCCACCCCTACCTCCTGAGAAGAACTGGGAGCTTTGGAGACCCAAGCTGAGGGGCCGTCTCCACTGGATCAGAGATTGGGACTCTTGCCTCTGTAACCCATCAAGAATTTAGCCCTGGGTCCATCATGGGACATTTCAGATGTTGGTGGTTATCTATAAAATGGGTCTATTAACGCTTGGGATGTTGGGATGTCGCATTGAAATAAGGACACCAACTTGAAAGAAACTCAGCAAGGCAAAGTTAACTTCTGCAGACACCCTGGGCCAAATAATCTGGCAAGCAAGCATGTAGAGCTGGCAAGCTGTTCCCTAATCCAGCAGTCCCTGCTCACATAGGCTAAGCTCAGGTTCACAATCTGCAAAATGATGTGGCTTAATCAACCGCATGCAACTAAAATTCAAGGGGCTTCTAACAGGATGCTTTAAAGTACCCAGGAAAAGGATGTATGTAACTAAAATTTAATTAACAAGGGCCAAGTCACCTGGCCAAAGCAGGAACCCTTCAGAAAAACAATTCTCTCAAGATTAACAGAAAGGAAAACAAAGTACTTTGATAGAAAAGGTGCTTTTCTCACATGGGTTTGGAGCTGAGCGCCAGTGGCTCATACTTGTCATCCTAACCCCTCAAGAAGCTGAGATCTGAGGATCCTGGTTCAAAGCTAGCCCAGGCAGGAAAATCCATGAGACTCCTAATCTCCAATTAACCATCAAAAAAGTCAGATATGGAGCTGTAGCACAAGTAGTAGGGTGCTAGTCCTATTGTTGCAACAAAAAAGCAACACATCCGGGCACAGGTGGCTCACACTTGTAATCCTAGCTACTCAGGAGGCTGAGATCTGAGGATCGTGGTTCAAAGCCAGCTTGGGCAGGAAAGTCCATGAAACTCTTATCTCCAATAAACCACCAGAAGACTGGAAGCAGCGCTGTGGCTCACGGGGTAGAGCACTAGCCTTGAGCTGAAGAGCACAGGGACAGACTCCTCCCTCCCCCCCCCAAAAAAAGAAGCAACAACATGAGACACTGAGTTCAAGCCCCGGTCCTTATGCACACACACACACACACACACACACACACATACACACAGGGACACGGTGCTTGGGACTGCTAGGTCCACAGAGCTATAAAATCACTAAAGTAGCCTTGGATTTACAAAGTGGCTTGCGCTGTTCATCCTTGGGTTACCTTGAGATTCTCCGGGGAAGATGCCGCAGGCACAAGTGGAGGACTAGAGTGACAGCGCACCCAGGCTTCAGCTACTGTGTAATACCGCAGACCAGGCCTCACAGGGGCCACGGGACATGCCCAAGGTCGCCCGCTGGCAAGTGGCAAGGATACCAGCCTGTGTGATTCCAGAAGCCAGATTGACTTCTAGGAACTGGCCTCAGCCCAGAGGGTTCCAGCTCGGCTTGACTCAGAGCCTTGAACTGACTGTGGATTTGGCAAGGTTTACCTGGAAGGCTGGGGCCAGGAGGACTCAGGCTATTGCCACCGTCCCCCCCCCCCCGCCAGCCAATCGTAGTCACAGGAATGTGGCACATGGCTAGCTCGGAGCTGCTGCTTCCTCCTGCTTCAGAAGTGTCCTCCACTTGGGTAGGTCTTACCCTGATGACTCCATCCCTACCAGGAGGTCGCTGTGTGTGGCGCTGAAAGGCCCTGGGAGCCCTGCCCAGCCCTGCCTTTGCCACCGCTGAGAGGAGTGATTCCAATTCAATGGGCAGGTGCCACGGCTGGTCCACGCCCGAGGACACTTCGCAGGTAACAGTGCACCTCCCGTGTTGCACTCATTTTCCCACCGTCCCCATTTGAAGCACTTGTGGCAGCTCACTGGCACCCCTGGGGACCTCTCTAGGTCATCCACCAACACCACTTCAACCTCTTCTAAAAGGGCCACCCTGTGCAAGAATTTTGTTGTTGTTGTTCAGTTGTAGGGCTTGAACTCTGGGCCTGGGCGCTGTCCTTCAGCTCTTCAGCTCAAGGCTAGCGCTCTACCACTAGAGCCACAGCGCCACTTCCGGTTTTCAGAGTGGTTTATTGGAGATAAGAGTCTCACGGACTTTCCTGCCTGGGCTGGCTCTGAACTGTGATCCTCAGATCTCAGTCTCCTAAATAGCTAGGATTACAGGTGTGAGCTACCAGTGCCTGGCTACTCTGTGTAAGAATTTTTAAGGGCTTCTCATTGCTTAAGATATAAAGTCTAATGCCAAGCACCAGTCGTTCACGCCTATAATCCTAGCTTCTCAGGAGGTTGAGATCTGAGGATCATGGTTTGAAGCCAGCCCAGGGAGAAAAGTTCAGGAGACTCTAATTAACCAGTTTTGTTTTTGTTTTTTTTAAGAAAGGGAAATGTGGCTTAAGTGGTAGAGTACTAGCCTTGAGTGGATAAGCTAAGGGACTGTGTCCTGGCCCTGAGTTCAAGCCCTGGTACACAGAGAAAGATGGAGGGAGGAGGAAGAGAAAAGGAGAGGAGAGAAGAGAAAAAGAAATAAAGTCTAAACTTCTTAGCTGGCACAGAAAGCCTCCCGCCGGGATTGTCCCCATGCCCTATCACCAGCCTGAATTTTGGCCAAATCAAACTCCTTTCAACTTCACCCCTTCCAAGGAAGTTGGACTTCCCTTCCTCTAGGTTTCATGTATACTGCTCCATCGCTCCTCTCTGAGATACGCTTTTTCTCTATTTCTACCCATTAAACTCCTATATATGCTTTAAAGTACAGTGCTCACACATGGCCTCACAAAGCTTTCCCCCAGCTAATCTGATGGCATAAGCCCCATTATCACTTACACTACAGTGTGGCTCTTAAAGTCCCATTTCTTTAGCTGTAAAGTAGGTATTAAAACAGTATAACTCAGCTGGGCGCCAGGGGCTCACACTATAATCCTAGCTACTCAGGAGACTGAGATCTGAGGATCACCCTTCAAAGCCAGCCCAGGTA